CTCAATCTATTGGTGTTTCCTTGTACCTGCAAAATGTCTATTTCTTATTTCATCAGCTTTACGTAAACTGGAATTGTCACATAAAGTGCCTTAGCAAGCTTTTGATGTTTCAACCATTTTAAAGGAAATATTTCATCCTCTTATTCAAATGTCAGCCTTGAGGGTAGCATGCATTTTAAGGAGCATTTTTTCCCCACCAGAGACTATATTTCTAGCCTTCAAGCTTATTTCCTGCTTATGCATAGCAGAATAAAAGGTGGATTGAAATCTAACAATACATTGGTAACAGTGATAGAGGCCAGTTAGATTCTTGATTTAACCACAGTGCCTCACTGTTGTCATTTAATCTGCCTGTGAAATCTCCCTTCAAACTTTTAAAAACCCTAAAAGATGTAGATTTGTTTTTTTGAGAATGAATTAATGTGAAAAAAAAAAAGAACTGTGAATTTCACCTGACATTAAACATGGATTTAAAGAAAAGCTGATGATGTTTTGAAGTGAGATGGGCTGGATTGTGTTTTGAATAATCTTTAGTCTTTAATATTCTTGGTCCCTCAGGTTAGCCAAGTCCACGCTGACCCTCATCCCCCTGTTAGGGATTCATGAGGTGGTGTTTGCTGTGATGACAGAGGAACAGACTGAGGGCGTGCTTCGCAATGTCAACCTGTTCTTCGAACTCTTCTTCAATTCTTTTCAGGTACAACTAAGGGAATCAAGAGAGACAGCCCATGTCACAACATGGCTTAGTTCATTCAGTATACTTTTTCGTTTACCATGCACATTTTGAATGCAGTGAATGTGCTTACAATGAACTAATTTTGACGCATTAGTTCCTGTTACCCCACAGGGTTTTCTGGTGGCCATATTATACTGCTTTGTCAATAAAGAGGTAAGAGGAATCTATTGTATATATTTGTATTTTTTTTATTATATTAATTATATAAATATAAATTATTTTTAATTACACACACAAAAGAGCAGCATTTATTTACAATCAAAATCTTATACAATGTATAAACAATATACAGTATCGTTCAAAAGTTTGGGGTCAGTAATTTTTTTGAAATTTTGTTTTTGAAAGAAATTATTACTTTTATTCAGCAAGGATGTTAAATTGATCATTTAAGTGATAGTAAAGTTTTTTTATTGTTAGAAAAGATTTCTATTTTGAATAAATGCTGGCTGATGAAAACGTAGCTTTGCATCACATAAATAAATTATATTTTAAAGTAGAAAACCATTATTTTAAATTGCAATAGTATTTCACATTAAAGGGGTCATATGAAGTTGCTAAAAAGAACATTTATTTTGTGTATTTGGTGTAATGAAATGCGTTTATGCGGTTTAAGGTAAAAAAAAACACATTATTTTCCACATACTGTACATTTATTGTTTCTCCTCTATGCCCCGCCTTTCTGAAACGCGTCGATTTTTACAAAGCTCATCGGTCTGAAAA